TTTCATGTCATGCATTGATGTCCATGCAGCAAAGGAGACTAGCACAATTCTTAATGCATTTAAAAAATAAAAATGTGTGTGTGGAGGTGCCACCTGCTGAAGTGCAGTTGGCAGAATAAAACTTCCACTAATGTCTAATAGCTAATTTAGGTAACTAATGAGGCAACTTCAGGCTTTCACTGTTTTTTGTTTATAGAGTACATGTCTGTACATGTTCATAACAGACCTAGAGACAAGAGCTGGTCACTTGCTATTTGTCAGTGGAATAGAGTGATGGCTTCATTGTGAGATTTTAGCACCTTTCCATAATGAATTGATGAAACAGTCAGTGGCTGAACTGTTGCCATGGAAGCCATAAGACCCTTCTCAAATTCTGTGTACAGTCATGATTTGAGGAAGATCCCCTCGCCAGTATTTGTTTTTCATACACTCAACCAACATTCACTGAGGAAGAAAACCAACCACAGACAAGGCACTGAGCCTTGAGTAAATCTTAATCCCTCCTCTTATAAGTTTTCTACCAGTGGGGAGATGAGGTGCACTGGGGAGTAAAAGAAGCACAAGACAGAGTGTGATAAAGTGATTCAGGAATCTCATAACTGCATGCCCATTACAATTCCATATCTCAGATGTTCCCAGCATTGATTGGTCCATGATTAATGCTAGGGGCAGGGCGAAGGCCACTTTTCTCACTGGTTGCAGTTGTCAATAATAGTCAACTTAGAGGAACTTAATCATAAGAAAGATTGTAGACTTAAGACCAAGATGGCGGCATAGGTAAACACCTGAACTTGCTGCCTCACACACCACATTAAAACTCCAACTAAAAGACAAAACAGATATCATCTAGAACCACAGGAAGGCTGGCTGAGTGGAAGTTCGACAACTAGTGGGAAAGAGAAAAGCACATCTAGACTGGTAAGAGGTGCAGAGGTGCGGAAGAGTGGAGGTACGGAGGCGTGCAAAACGGGCTGGCAACTGGGTATGCTGTGGTCTTTTTCAATCAGGAGGGTGATACAAACTCCCAACTGCTCTGAACTCCAGTTCCGGGTGAAACTCTGGGGACCCAGACTCATACGGAGAGAAACTGGACTGTCTGGCATCTGGAGGCGGATTTCTCTCAGAGGTGTTCACAGCGTTCATTGTTCCTGCACGGGGCCGTGGGACACAGAGACCCAGGGACCTATCTGGGGCAGGGCCGATGGGCAACCATTGCTGTTTGCACCACCCTGTGATTCCCTGAGACCATGCCCCACTCAATTTACAACCCCACCCAAGCTATGAGCAGAGGCTTTTGCATATGAATGGCTGGCCTTTTGCAACCTAACCTAATAAACTGCAGCTTGTCAGAGAACCCCAGAGCTTCCAAAAGAAGGCCCTGCCGCATAAGGGTATCTCTAGCACAGCAGTTCTCCCATTATAGACACAACTGGTCCTCACAGCCAATTGATCTGGAGATCAATTCCTCCCAGTGATACCAACAGCAATCAAGACCTAACTACAACAAAACTGTGCACACAGCCCACAAAGGAGTGCACCAAGAGCTTCCACCTCAGGTAACTGGGGAGACTGAGCCGCTGGGCCCTATAGGACACCTAGCACACAAAGCTACTCTATCAACACAGGGAAGCAGCCAAAATGCAGAGACAAAAAAACAGGTCACAAATGACAGAAATAGAGGAAAACAAACTACTGGATATAGAGTTCAAAACCATGGTTATAAGGTTACCCAAGAATCTTCTAGAAACCTCTGAGAAATTTAGTGAGACCCTCAAGGATATGAAAAAGGACCAATTAGAAATTAAGCAAACACTGACTGAAATAAAGAATAACATACAGAAATCCAACAGCAGACTAGAGGATCCCAAGAATCAAGTCAAAGATTTGAAATGTGAAGAAGGAAAAACCACTCAACCAGGAAAGAAAAAAGAATCCAAAATAAGATAGTGTAAGGAGCCTCTGGGACATCTTCAAGCATACCAACATCCGAATTATAGGGGTGCCAGAAGAAGAGAGAGAGAGCAAGATATTGAAAACCTATTTGAAGAAATAATGACAAAAAACTTCTCCTACCTGGTGAAAGAAATAGACTTACAAGTCTAAGAAGCACAGAGAACCCCAAACAAGAGGAATACAAAGAGGACCACACCAAGACACATCATAATTAAAATGCCAAGGGCAAAAGACAAAGAGAATATTAAAAGCAACAAGAGAAAAACAGTTAGTTACCTACAAGGGAGTACCCATACGACTGTCAGCTGATTTCTCAATAGAAACTATGCAGGCCAGAAGAACGTGGCAAGAAATATTCAAAGTGATGAATACCAAGAACCTACAGTG